TGTGAGTTAGGGTTAGGGTTAGTGTTTCGTTTGGTTTCGTTTCGTTTCGTGGATAAGACTAAGCTGACTCAGATTAGTATGTCCTTTGATTCAGTAAACATGATTCACCAATACGATTTTCAGGATTTATTATGCCAATCATTACCTCTTAAAAAGATTGATTATTTCCATAAAACTGTTTTAATAATTTATACAGTAATCATATAATTTAATTTAGTTACTTGAATTCATAAACACTTGTTGCTCATTATTACTTTTATTCAGTGTCTGGCAATCTTTGCATTGATGACAACTCTGTATTTTCTATTCATAGTACACAGTCAGACTTATTTCAAATCACAAATACAATGTACAACTTGTGAATCCCAAATCTTTAACTTCATGTATCTGATTTGAATCTCATTCTAATTATACAATAGTAATGGTTTTAATGGGTTTTCAAAGGTGATTAAGGGTTAAAATCATAAAATGAACCAACTTCAGATATTCAGATTTGGGGGAAAAATGACAGAGAACTTAATTAAGACATAATTGTTCATCAACATGCAAAGTTTTATTGATATCTGCTGCAGAAGTTCTGAGAAAATGTTACATTCATACAGACAGACAGATGTCAATCCATTAGTCCCTTTCAGACTGCGGTTGAACAGGAACCAAAAAAGATCTGGAGAGGGCATCTTGCATGTTAATATGTATGGATGTGTTACCCTCTAGGGTACATGTATTGTTATATATATATATATATTTAGTAGATATTTTGTGGTCAATTGTGCTCACTATGATTCCCTGGAAAGTAGCTTACCTTTCCATCAGTGATCTCTACACCATTATCTCCACTGACTTTAATCTTTTGAGTCCCATTCTGAAATATTTCCATGCCTAGATTATCATGTTTCTTTTCAAAGTGTGCTATATAGGTACGTTTAAGGTCAGCAACCTGCCAGCTAGACTGCGCAAACTCACACAAACCTTCCTTAATTCGTTTCTTCAGAGTCTTCTTCTTGAACACCCAATCTAATCGTGCTGGTAGTGGATATGGTAGATAATTTTTATAGTTTACTTTCTTCATGATAATGTTTTTATTGATGTCGTTTTCAAGCGCGTAGCGCATCATATCCATCACCGTCAATCCCATGACCTCTTGATCTTCAAAGATGTCCCATGAACGACCTTGAAGAAAGTCAGCTCGACACTGATGGTAGTAGTATTCCATTGCAGCTATACCTAATCCAGTGCAGTCTTTATCACGATTGAATTGGTAGCGTAAACGGAACCATAAATCCATTTTCCCTTCTATCTTCCGACTCGGACTAAGCCATGATACGTCATCTTTTGTCGCCAGTTGAAATGAGGTAATGTCTCTATTTGACAACACACATGTATGATACTTGATTTTAGCAGCTACTATATAGCAGAGTTTTTCGGCCGTTAATCCATTTAAATTATAGAATTGTAATGGCTCTGCTGAATTATATAGATACACTCGTACAGTGTTATGTGGAATATAGCTAGCCATTGTGCTGTTCTCTGAAACATGAAATGAAAATAAAAAAAAAATTAGAAAGAATTTCCATGTGCTGTGGAAATTGGAAGCAAGAAACAGATATAGGAAATATATAAATAAATTACAAATTTGAGATTAGATTACAGTGTTCTCCCCAGGATGTAAACAGCGTGGTGGTCCCGCCACAGTGCTTCTCTTTGCCGCCACACCGGTCTGACACCGCCACGGTGATTAGCAAGGCCGCCACAGTGCTTTTTTCATTGGGGATCTCGTCACGCTGGTCGGCCCGACCAGGACTATTGTCATATTGTTATTATACTTGCATGCCAACCGACACGCATCCTGTCAGTCGTGGATAATAATTTGTAAACAATAGACATAGTCGCGCGATGTGGTAGCGTCTTTAAACAATACAAGTCAATTTTGTAAAATTAGCACCTCTTTGTAAGTAAATACTTTCTGATGATAGACGCAGTCTTTAGATTGAAAGCTAAAATTCTTTCAAAATCAATTCCAACCCGATGTAACATGGGAAAAGCGGAGTTCACGATCAGTTTACAAGAATAAACAAAGTGTTTTATTGCGTGATTGGGTAAAATACATTTGAACTGTTATCATCGTGAATCATGTAAAAACTCTTCTTTCAAGACTTCTTTTACCTTTTAAAAATTGCTAATCGCCTCTTTCGAAAACCACCATGCAGTTTTCATCTGAAATCCACACCTACACATCGTTCTACGACATCGCTATACTTCCGCAATGTAATTTTTATGATCACGATCATTCGGAAAACTTCAGGTTCTACCGGCATTACCATGCGGCATTCTGATTGGTTAATGGCGTTTTTGACCCACAGGGTCAAAGGACATGAATGCGTCATAACTATCATGGTGGGTCTGTGTGATCGAGTGATCAAAAATAATTTCTCTCGTTAAAACTAGTTCAAATTTTACGTTTTTTTCGTATAAAAAAAAGAAGTATTTAATTTTTGCATGGCATCATGACTGAGTAAGAGAAATTATTGGTATAACCGGTGTATAACATTGCAAAGTAAGCTATGTCACGTCGTAACTTCGATGATCGTTTGGAAGTGCTATTTGTTCGTTCACTAATACTGTAAATGTAAACGTTGTAGAAGCTGATGGTCGGAATATTAACCAGCAATTCGCCAAATAATTACGTGGTCGATTTTTTGAAGGAGAATTTTGTAATAAATAAGATCATGAAAGTCGTGAACATAATCCTGACTGAAACGTTTCAAATGAGTTTCATTTAACCTTTTAGAATTTATTTGTTTCCTTTTTATTTTTAGTCTGCAGCATTTGCATTTCGAGAATGTTTCATTTTTAAATTCAAACTCTTCTAAATTGTGAAACTTAATATTTTGAACCCCCAAAAAAATATTTGCACTGTGACGGAGCTCATTAATATTACAAAAGTGCCCAAAATAAAAGTGTTTATAACACTGTGAAGCAAATAAATATCTGCCACTTTGTTTTTGAAAATATATGTTGTTTATGTGTGGGTGTAAATGCGCTTTGATCAATTTCTATTATTATGTAAATGATATGCAAATTATATGCAAATTAGGCTGCCACAGTGGTTTAAATTGATATTCATGTTCCTCAATTAATGTTACATGTGCTGTATTAATTTCAACAAGTCATTGAAAATGACAAAGTCCTTGTTAAATTTTTGAAA